TGCCAGTCATATTCATATCAAGGCATTACTCACATAACTTGTTTGCTTCATTTATATACATGAGTAAAAATTGATTAGGCATTTGAATAAAATCAACATAAGACAATACACATTTGGAAATAATATTAGTATTATCAGTAAAATACAATAAGATGGGAAATCAGATGTTTTTATAGTCTAAATAAATAAGTAACTTGTTAGAATGCTATAATGTGATTAATATCAGTAAAAAGTTTGAGCATTGTGGAATAGATCTGTTATGTTCTCGTCGCTAAATTATTGTTATGGTCTGGTCGAGAAATTTAATGGTCCTGACGCGAGAAGGCGGAAATCAGAAGACCACTAGGTTTGCGATGATACTTCTATTGTCCAAAAACAAGGAGACGAAAATAAATGGTCTCACACCAAAGTGGTAAGTAAGTAAAGTAGTTCACACAGAATGTGTGAACGAAATATATATATATATATATATATATATATATATATATATATATATATAACAAAATATATATAGCGACATGTCAAACAACCATATATGGATATATGTCACTAAGCGACGGACTGTCAACAAACACTCATATTATATATAATATAATATAAGGAGAATATACATTGTTAAAGGAGACAAGTTCACACAAGTGAAATGGTCACAGACTAAGCGAGCAAACAGAAAGAGAGACCAACATACACACACACACATAAATATATATATGTGGATACATATCAAGATCAAATAAAGTATAATTATATTTTAACAGTTTACACACAATGATAAGTTTTGTTATTGGTAATATTTCGAGCAAAATTACTGCCCGTGTTCACACCACTGTTGGAATTGTTTTGTTCACATATTTGTGATTCGATAATCATATATATTATTCATTCTGTTTTACTCATTCATGTTTTTGTATTCAGAATTATATTCCAAGTTGTTGACAGTCGTACTGAGTCACCCTTGTTACATGTATCCGGTGTGAGTTTAATGAATATCGATTCTGTTATGAGTCTTTCTTTCCATTTATTCATGTTTGTTTCTAGAATACACACATTGTTCCAATTGATATTCTGGTTTTTCTCCCATGCATGTGCAGCTATCGATGAAATTTCTTCAAGATTTTTGTAAGCTTATGTCCCTGTTGGTTGACCTTTGTTTAGGCGTTTATGTTCATTCACTCTTATTTTGAGTGATCTGGACGTTTGCCCCACATATTTAGATATTTTATAAATCAAATTGTTTTTATCCATCATTTTTATGGGATCTTTCAGTGGATTTATTTTATTTTTGATTAGATTTGTCGGTTTAAAGGTTGTTCGAATGCCGATATTTTTGAGGTTTCTCTGAATTGCCTCTGATGTACCATTTTTATATGGTATTGCAACTGTTTTTCCCACTCTCCCATCTTGTTATTCTCCGGTTTTACCCTCTTTTTTTCTGTTTTTTATATTATCTTTTATAAATTCTTTAGGGTAGTTGTTTTCGAGTAGCATTTTGAATAGGACGTTTATTTATTTACACTGGTCCTCTGGTGTCGTTGTAACTCTACGTATTCTATCTGCAAGACCTTGTTTTAATCCTCGTTTTGCCGTGAGTGGATGAGCTGAGTAATAATCAAGGAATCTTCCAGAATGTGTGGCTTTTCTATATATCGTTGTTTTTATGCTACCATCTGTCATTCTTTGTAGTTTGCAGTCTAACATGGGCAGTTCTCCAATTTCATTCTCTAATTCCATAGTGAATTTTATTGAGTCGACGTGGCTGTTTATGTGTGAGAAAAGTTTCTCAGTATCGTTTTTTTTTAACTATTACTAGTGTGTCGTCTACATACCTCCACTAACATTTTAGTGATGATCTGAATGGTTTAAGGGCATTCTCCTCCCAATAATCCATGAATATGTCAGCTATCATTGGTGCGATAGGCGATCCCATAGCTACTCCCTCATTTTGTTGGTATATTTTCCCTTCAAATGTGAAATATGTTATCGTCAGACAGAATTCCACCCCTTTTATTACCTCTTCTATGGATAACTGTTTTCTGTCTTTCAGGCCATTATCTTCTTTTAGTTTCTCTTTACCAATGACAAAACTTATCATTGTGTGTAAACTATTGAAATATAATTATACTTTATTTGTTATAATGTGAATTGAAAACATTTTCACATTATTATTATTATTATTATTATTATTATTATTATTATTATTATTACTGTCCAGTTTGACTGGTAATAATATCTTCCATACCTCTGATATTTGCGTTGAGTCACTTCTATTGCATGTGTTAGGTGTAGACTCAAAGCATCAGACAGGATTCAGTAATCAACCTCCCTCTCTACCTACCTATATTACCTTTTAGAATTTTGACCCTGTCGCACCCACCCTATTGTGTACTTGTGTGTTAATGCATGCAGTACGATTGCTGAGTTTTGTTTTCTAAATTACTTATCATCGTGGGATCAATCACTCTGATGTTAGCTAAATTCTTATTTTCTGATATTCTCACTACTCCTGATCTACTAGTTTGACGTATGTAGTTTTGACTTAACTCACAGTCATTACAAGGTATTTCATAAATTATATTATTTTGTTTAACTGGGTCACTTTGATTAAATTTCTTCACGGGATATAATTTCTCAGTATAAAAACCGGTATATGTACGATTGTACAGTTTGATAATAAATTCGTTGAAAAGATTCTCGTCTCTAAATATTGTGTTCTTAATGTTGCAATTGAAATTATTAAATAATTGAAAAAATGCAAAAAACAACCAACAACGACAAAGGAATCTAATGGGTTCCTTTGCTACTCTGTTAAGCTTGTTTTAGTGAAATCTGAAATAAACATGTTTGGAGGCTGTATTAACAAAAATAAATATCCCAATATATTCTCCAAAGCCCTTAGGCGCAACCGTATCTGTCCAAATTCTAAAACTGTAAAGCGGCATACACTTATTCCTACTGATGAAATCAATTCTTGACATAAGTATGAGAATTGGGCAATGCGATATAGTATAATTCACTTATGGATAAGAATTTATTTTGATAAATCACACAGTGTTATACAGTAATATTAATTGATGACCACGTTTCGAGCACGAACTATTGCCACTAATAATCATATCAAGTTACTCAAACAACTTTTTTCCTTCATTTATATACATGTGTGGAATTGGCTAGATATTTGAATAAAAATCAATATTAGATAATTGACCTACATAAGATTCTTAATAAAGCAGGAATTAGAGTGGCATTCAAACCTACAAACTCACTCAGAGACAAGCTCCGTAGGCTAAAAGACCCGGTGGGCCCAATTAAACAAAATAATATAATTTACGAAATACCCTGCAATGACTGTTAGTTTATTCAATTACATTGGTCAAACTAGTAGATCGGGGGTAGTCAGATTGTCGGAACATAAGAATTTAGCTAAGATAAAAGTGATTGATCCCAAGAAGATGAGTTATCCAGAAAAAAGCTCACCAATTGCACTGGACTGCATGCATTATCACACAACCACACAATAGGATGGGAGGGAGAGGGTTAAGATTCTAAGAAGTAATCTATGTAGGCGGAGAGAGAGGTTGATTACTGAATCCTGACTGGTTCATTGAGTCTACACCCAACACAACACATGCAACAGAAATGACTCAATGAAAATACCAGTAATATGGAAGATATTATTACCGCTAGTCAGTCAAATCAGAGGAGGATAATAAATAATCTCAAAATTCTATTTCAATTCAATTCACATGCATCACAACATTGTAACAAGTTAGTTATTATGACTATAAAAACACTCGTCTTATTTCCCATCTGATTGTAACTGATAAATAACATTCATGTTATTATTTCTGAATGTACATTATCCCATTATCTCATGTGCGTCGCTGGCACAGCGGTTAGGACTCTTCCAGACCATGCATATGGTCCGAGGTTCGACCCCCTGCCGAAGCACACCTGATATCTATGGTCGACCTGGAAAATTTGGGCTACCGATATCACATGCTGAAAATTCCATACTTGTACCAAAAATACTGTGTGGCTTCAAGCTATTACCAAAACAAATATTGATTTTTATTCAAATATCTAGCCGATTCCACACATGTATATAAATGAAGGAAAAAAGTTGTGTGAGTGAGTAACTTGATATGATTATGAGTGTCAATAGTTCATGCTCGAAACGTTGTTATCAGTTAATATTACTGTATAACACTGTGTGATTTATCAAAATAAAATCTTATCCATATTGAAATCAATTCTGGTGCTGTGAAGCTAAACAGGAAGATATCCTTTAGAAGTCACGTTTTATTTAAACCCTTCAACTGATGAAAGCCAACCATGCAAGTAATCCATTTCTCTTGTCATCGAAAAATCTTCCCTGTCTACTAATCCCCAGAATCTTGACAACTTCAAGTAGACGGTAGCAAAAATGAGATTTTTGACTCACTCGGATAATTCTAATTTTGTCAACTCTTGATATTAGCGACACTCTCACCCACTTCACCTTGACATTCTAGACCCTACTAGTCAAAAGTCATTACAACTTGAGGACATCCATCTTGTTGTAGACATCAATGGTGAGCTGGAAACTGATATTTAGATTATGTCAGATTACGAGCACACACGCAAACTGGTGGAGAGTCCTAAAATAGGACGAATCAGATGTCTAGTGCTCTCTGCCAGTTTTCAAGGATCTCTCTAGTTGACTGGTACTAGTTTATGATGAGTGTTTTTAAATTATCGTGAATTATCTTGCACAAAGCTTACAATCTAAATTATTAGAGAAAGTCCCTCAGTCTATAGTGAAGTATAACTAACTGTGTCTTCCCCATACAATCAAATTAATTTAAACACTGTTATCATTTAGTAAAACAAAGAAAAAAAACTTTTTTAAAATTCCGTTTTCATTATTTATGTATTTATTTACTTTTGTTTACAAAATATCCAAATTCCAGATTACACACATTCTCCAATAATCTATCTACATTTCTGAAAGTTGGGTAGACAAATAACGGTAGATAGACAGACAGGCGGACAGTAGCTCATAAGTATTAATAGTCTGAATGTGATTATATTTTTCATGATATTGACGATACTACTTTAATGTATCAGTGATTTGAATTGCCAGTTATTGCTGTTGTCGCTTATTTGAGGACAAAAACTTTCGTAAGTTAACTAATTAACCGTATTTAATTGTGTTCATTAATTGTATGCAACTGAATACGCCTCTATCAATAATAAGGTTGGTAATGAAGTACATCTTTTTATTTCTCCTCAACTAGGATTTTTTGTGAAAATGAATTACTATTTAAGATTACAGGCAAACAGAAGAATTCATTATAATAAGGGTTTTCTTGTATTTCCCAATGAATGATGAAAAACAAAACGATATTTCTGTTTTTACTGACGTTTCGCCATTTTATGCTGCTGCTAACAGCTTTATCAAAGCATTATTAAACCAGGATTTACAAAATCTCAGCTCATATATAACAACTTAATCATCGTTCCTCAGTATGAGGTCATTTTCGTGTTGTCAAGCTGGGCAGTTGGTAAAGATAACAAACCCAAGTGTAGACTGTTGAATTTGATAAGTGTGTAAAATTATAGAAACGGCGTGTGCTTACATAGTGAAATTGCTTATCACATCCATGTTGATTTTGTCGCTTCATGGAGGAGGGTGGGTGGGTGTTGTAACGAGGTCAAATTCTGTTTTAGTCCATCATTCCAATTCAGACAATTTGGATTCCATTTAATATAAAGCGCTTCTGATGTTTGTCCGATGTATATCGCATCCTATTCCAAGCATTTTATTTTATAGACACAATTAGATAGAGAATCTTTAAGGATTTGGTTTTTTATATGGACGAGCTTGCTTTGCAATGTGTCTGATGTTTCGCAGAAAACCTTGATGTCAAGCTTGTTGAGTACTCTTCTGATATTCTCTGACGTCTCTGGTCTATACGCCATGACAGCTGTTGAGGTTCATGTTTTCGGAATACGTTTTTGACTCTATATAATGTCAGTGTTGATTTTGTTGATGAAGTTCTTTCAGCAATAATAAAGAATGTCTAATATCTTCAGAAGAACTTCATATCAAGTGGAATCCAAATTGTACGAATAGGAATGATGGATTAAAACAGAATTTGACCTGTTTACAACAACACCCTCCCCCATAAAGTGACAAAAATCAACACGAATGTGATAAGCAATTTAATTATGTAAACACAAGCTGCTTTTATAATTTTACACACTGATCAAATTCTGGTTTTGTTATCTTTACCACTTGGCCAGCTTGACAACGCGAAAATGCCCCCATGCTGAGGAACGAGGACTAGGTTATTATATATGAGCTGAGATTTTGTAAATTCTGGTTTAGTATTACTATTTTGATAAAGCCATTAGCAGCAGCATAAAATAGTGAAACGTCAGTAAAAACAGAAATCTCTTTTTGTTTTTCATTCATCAGGAAATACAAAAACCTTTATTATAATGAATATCAAACACTCAATGCCCAAATTCTTTCAAACTGTTAAAAATCAACTTGGTTTGGACATATTTAAAAACAAAAATTAATTAACTGTGGGCTGGGCTTATATTTTTTCAAAATCGTTAGCATTATTTCATGTACTCTGCCTGTTTTATTTCACAACCGGTTTGTATTCGAAATGACTACTTAATTACGTAAAAGTCTGGATGACAAACACTACTGGTTAATATGAGCGGTATACAACTGCTGATTTCCTTCCATCAGTAGTATATAGTTTCATGCAAAAGATTAAATGTCGCTTTTTGTATTAAGTTAGTGTTTTAACTTTTTTTTTGATGTGAAATGGAGAATATATCATTAAACTTTATGTTGTACTCGATTGATTTGTATGCGCTGTAGTTCCACAAACATTAGGTACCACGGGTGAAAATGAGTCATGTGTTAAAATAATATTTGTTTCCATACTCAAGAACAGTTTTTGTATTAAGATAGTTTAGCTGTAAGTATGGTTCTTGAGGTATTATTATTATTATTAATGACGGCAAATAAGAACTCCTAACAGAGATGATTTAGTTGGTTTTATGTTCTTCGTAGTTGTGAATCTCATAATAACAGCCTTCTCAGCTTAGGATCATGCATGCCATCACATTTTATAGAAATATTTCAAATGAAAATGATACATGGTTACTATTTATCAACTTAAAATATCATTCCATGTTTGGAAAAGATTATCTGTTTATAGAAAGTGAGAAATTATTAGTATTTAGAAAATATCCCCCTGTGAAAAAAAGAAAGGTAGATTTTAAGCAATTAGTTCTGACTTGAAGTCGATTGGTTGATGGCGACAAACAGTGGAATCCAGGATACGCATTTCGTTCTATTTGAGACTCGCTATCTGAATTTACCTGCATTCCCAGTGACACATCCAGACGACGAGCCCCAAATAGGACGAAATGCCCATTGTCGACTCCACTGCTAGTCACCACCAACTAATGGACTTTTAAGTTACATGGACAGACATCAATGAACCTGAGACCAAGCAATCTGGTTCAATCAATCGACGAGAAAATCTAAATTGAATTGTATAATTAGTTCCGGCATTTATGAATTTCAACAAAACCATAAGAAGTGTTTGTTTTGTAGGGATTTAGTTTGATTGTATGGAGGATTTAATCATGAGCTGACATCAGTTAGAGAACCACTGGAAAACCTGGGAGTACTGGACAGCTGTTTCGTCATAGTTTGGGACTCCTCAGTAGTACGCACCCACCAGGGGTTCGAACCCAGGACCTTCTGGGACGTATCTTTATCTGAAATGTTTATTGTGTTGTATTTGCGCAACACATTTTGGACATTCTGATCACACACGTACTTGTTATACATATTGACATAGAAGACAAGAGACGATAAATAGGTTTTCTATGTCAATATAAATATAAGTCAAAATGTTTGCATCAAGCATCAGATATGAGACTGAAAAACGAAAATCTAAAATTATAAATTATTTAAAATAATCCCAGCCACTTTAAACAAAATTCAGAGCAAGATTTTTCCGAACATTTTGCCGTGTAAGCCACAGGTTCTTGGTTAGTCTAATTACTTGGATTTTATCAACCAACATCAAAATATATATATATAGTAAAAAAATTACGCAAATTGACGTGGATTCCTTTGAAGGTCACTTGTCGGTAGACATTTATGCCACTGGAAAAGTGTAAGCAGTCAACATATATTTGTAATGATTAAGAAGACAGCCGCCGCGAAGAAAATTTTCTTTTCGACGAATTCATAAACTAAGCTGTACATTCATGCATTTATAACAAATGGATGAGAAAGTTCCAGAATAATTTCCGCTTAAGGGTCAAATTAATAAAATTACAATTAGGAATTAAAATGTCATATTAAACAGGGGGGAGGGACGGATAAAACTAAATAGAGGTTCTAGTGGGAAGCCGTGACCAGTAGGGTACAACAGGTCGAAGATGAGGCAGTAACTCATCGAAGAAGACATTGCGAAGTGGTCGCGCTATGTCGTGAATTGGCAGAAGTTAGAATTCAAGAACCATTGGATCGGGTCCCAGTGGCTCAATGGTCTACGAGCTCGCCTTGTAACCAGAAGGTCCTGGGTTCGAACCCCGGTGGGTGCGTACTGCTGAGGAGTCCCAAACTATGACGAAACAGCTGTCCAGTACTCCCAGTTGTCCAGTGGTTCTCTAACTGATGTCAGCTCATGATTAAATCCTCCATACAATCAAACCAAATCCCTACAAATCCAACACTTAAAAAAATAGCATCATAATCACTGAGAAGATTGACATGTTGTGCAATTAGAGGCTAGAAATGTAGAAATAACCAAAATAGAAAGGATGGTTAGATAAAAAATCTAGTGGGACCATAACTAATGTGACGAATAATTGTTTATGCAATTAAGGGTTAAATATGTAGGAATAATAAAATGACAGATTAGACAGGAAGTTCGGATATGAAAATATGGTAGTGTAAATAAGGATTAAGAAAAACTTAAAAATAACATGAATAAACAGGAAGTTCAGATAAGAAAGGCAATGAGATAGTCACTATTAAAAGAATTATCTGTTTATGATGGCCACGTCAGGGACAAGGGTTGAACGTATTTCCTCTTGGATACATAGACTGTGTTAGAGGTTTTGGATGGCTAATGCCTCGGCTATGCCCAGATGTCTTAGTTTTACTCCCTTTGAAAGGTTTGATCGAATCTTGTATATTACTTTAAAAGATTTTGTCGAAAAATGCTGAATGTCATTTTATTATTCCTACATATTTAACCCTTAATTGCATAAACAATTATTCGTCACATTAGTTATGGTCCCACTAGATTTTTTATCTAACCATCCTGTCTATTTTGGTTATTTCTACATTTCTAGCCCCCTGATTGCACAACATGTCAATCTTCTCAGTGATTATGATGCTATTTTTTTTAGTTTTATCCGTCCCTCCCCCCTGTTTAATATGACATTTTAATTCCTAATTGTAATTTTATTAATTTGACCCTTAAGCGGAAATTATTCTGGAACTTTCTCATTCATTTGTTATGAATACACGAATGTACAGCTTGGTTGATGAATTCGTCGAAAAGAAAATTTTCTTCGCTGCAACTGTCTTGTTAATATTTCCTATGATCCAATGTGTGTATTCTGTGATATTTGTAACGACTAATGTCAAACTGTCATATATGCGTATTTGTCTGTATGAGTGTCTGAAGGGATGTTTGTTGCTATATGAAAAACACGTCAAAACATGATAATATTTCTACAGCGATCACAGGGTAGGATTGAATATTTTTATATTTTCTCTCATCTAGTTTTCTGCATTAGAGTCTGCCATATTGGTGATAAGACACCTCCTTTCTCTCCTGTTTTACTGTACTCGATGTGGTTAAAATATACAAGGCTTCAGAGGTCAGCCTTTCTTTTTGTGAATGAAATCCTTTTCGTAGACTTTTGATATTGCTAGAACTGACTTTTTTCGAGATTCTTTAATTCTGTTTCATTTATAAGCGGACGTTACACGCACAGCCTGTGCTCATTTCCTCTGAACTTCACCTGTCCAGTGCTTTCCTCCAATATAACAAGCCTCATATTCCAAACACTTTATCCTGTCGACACAGTCGGTTTGTGTTATTTTGAGGAGCATACACCTATGACACTCAATAAAGCTTTTTCTAAAGAATTAGACGGCTTGATGTAGACTTTAACACATATGAAGCAAATAGTCTTTAGAGTTGTTCAGCCACATTCTTTCGATTTGTAATCGCTATCATTAATACCCAGGATTTTTCAATTTTCTTTCTCCTGTCACCTATTTTATTGATTATATTATATTAAATAGAAGCCTTTCTCGGATAAGCATTTCCAACCGAAATTTGTTTTATATTCGAGATCTTCTCCTGCATATTCAAAACGTTTACAGGTCATGAAGAAAATGAAGTAGGAAAAAACCGGGATAAAAAATTATTACTAAGTATCTTTTCTCCTGGCTGATAACAATTCGTGGTTGAATTTGAAATAAATCCCTACAAACTAACTCTAATTTGATGCTCACTAGTCACTGGATTTATGACGAAGTTGCTTGAAGTTTTAGTAAGACGTCCTAACCAGAAGGATCCACCCGGTCAGGTGTGTAGACAAGTACTCGTCGATGACATCGGTTGGTGGTCAGGCTACAACCATAAAATTGTAGGAGTTGAAATTTATAGACTGGCCATTAAGTCGGTTCCCAGTGACTGAATGGTCTACGAGCCAGCTTATCTTGTAACCGGGAGGTCTAGGCTTTGAATCCCAGCTTTGAGTGAGTACTGCCGAAGACTCTTCAATTAGGGCGAAATAGTTGTCCAATACTCTCTGGTTTTCAATAGTTGTCAAAGTGATATCAATCCATGATCCAACTTGAAACAAATCGAATCCCTATAAACTAACTCATAAGCAAAACGGGCCATAATTCTTAAATTGGATTAAGGAGGCAGCTTCAGATTAATAGCAAGCGAATTTTCAACACATAAAGTAGAATTAAGTCTATTTATCTCTAAGGCTGCAACGAATTTCGGCTTTTACTGATAAAAATTGTAATCTATTATACTATCTTGCCGTCTATACAAATCTGTTTGACAAGTATGTGTATGATCAAAATGTCCGAAATGTGTTGTACAAATAAAACACATTACAAATTCCAGGTAATTCTTTTATTCCTTCTACATTCCATGTGGAACATAGGGCTTCAAGATAGGGCTTTGAATTCTCAGTAGAATTGGTATTGATTTTTACGGAATAGGGTTGCGAGCATCATACCCCCAACCTTCCCTCTTTACCAGTCTTTTTGTTGGCTTAGCGAGTTGAAGGTGTGCGTCAGCCGAGGATCGAATTCCGGACCACATTAGGCGTGGTTGGCGAGCATTCTACTGCTGTGCTGCTGACACTCCAGGTAAATTACACCTTCTAATTGTTTCGTCGAAAGAAAGATTTCACAATGTGATGAAGTTCATAAATATCTAAAGCATTTTGAACTCAACTACACAGTTACTAATAGTTCCTAGGTAATTATATAATTTTTGTGTCTAATGATTAAATAGTGATGTAAAAAGGTGTGAAGAGTGCTTTTCTCTCCTATTGGATAGGATATATTCTTTTGCTGACACCAATAGATACATTTAATGCTTTAAAAAATCACTTTTACACAAATATATACAATGATTATCTCCAAATATCAAGTACAAAAAGATTTTGTGTACTGAATTAACACAAGTTTTGATTCCTGAATATGGCAGATACAATTAGTTGCTACAATTATATCATTCATACAAATATTCCCCTTTATGAATTTGAAGAAGGCAAGAACAACAGGTTTTGCTGAATACAATGGTACCACCATTTATTTCGTTGGCTTCTCATCAGTTGCTTATAGCCAGAGATATAATCAAGTTTATCTACGGAAACAATTTTAGCTTACTTACACAGAGAGTTCATTTTTAAACAAGAAATCAATCTGTGCATACAATGTTATTAGATAGCTGGAGGCGGTCAGCCACAGAAAGCCTTGAACCTAGGTTTCGTGCTAGCTAGCACTCGTCAGGAAAGCGTATTTACAACCTTGAAGGAACTCATGTCCCTTCTGAGATTCAAACCCGCGTCACCCAGTCCTGCAGTCAGAGACGTTACCATCAAATCAATGTGCACCGTGATGGCGAGCTACCTAGAATCATGGTCACACTACAAAACCTGACTGATAAAATTCAGTCTGCATCAAAATAGAGGAATAGACACATCACATTAGTTACTAATAACCAATCAAAAATATTCATAGAATGCTAATAATTAATAATAATAATAATAATAATCCCATTATCTTAAACAATAACAATCATATACACTGAGACCTTAGACGTTAAATAGTCAGATGAAAGAGAGAATGAAAATATCCAGTTACCAGGCAGGGCAAAGAAAGACTGATAACTGCTTCTTTCTCAACGCATAAGTCACTTTTCAGGTGCTCGAAAGAGATTGCTTCTTCATGAAAATGATATACGAAGATAACTACTCATCATCTGTGCTAAGTCATTGTTGATACTTACTCACGTGAAAATGTGCAAAAGCTTTTAGATAGAAAGAGAGAAAAGGTTATTCGAAAAGGTAGGTCACATTCAGCAGAATCAGTCTTCATTAACTTTCACAATACAACTCTTAAGATTACACCAAATCTTGTTATTCTTTATTAAATTTCAACTTCGTGATTCATTAACTAGACTGAAATATTTGGCCTATGTTGGCATACTGGCTCCTTATGTGGATGTATTGATGTTTTTTATAGTTGGTTTGTAAGGATAACTTTTGTTTTTACGAGTTGATCACGTAGTGATATCAGTTAGAGAACCATTGAAAACCAGGGAGTATTGGACACCTATTTCATCCCAGTTTGGAAATCATTGGAAGTACGCACCAACCACCAGGGTTCAAACCCAGGGCCTTCCGGTTACAAGACAAGCTGGCTCGTATAATATTCAGCCATTGGGATCCGATTCATTGGCCAGCCCATGAATTCTAACTTCTATCAATTTGTGATTTAGCGCCACTAGCACCAAACAATGTCGTCGGTGGGACATCCATCCTCACAATTGTCTGGATGAACCTTAGTGGTCACGACTTCTCACTAAAACTCCAGGAAACTCCATCCTGTAGCATGTTACTAGCAAGCATCGGATTAATTTTCTATAGCTGGCTTGTAAGGGTTAGTTTTGTTTTTACGAGGTGGTTACGGATTGATATCAGTTGGAGATGAAACAGCTATTCAGTACTCCCCGGTTTTCAATAGTTCTCTAACTGATATCAATCCGAATAGGGAATTAAGAAGATGAATTTCGCGAGATGATGCCATCATTTCGTAGTTTCTTTACAACCGCTTTACAACTAACATGGTTAACAATAATAAAATAAAGATCATAAAAATTACTCAGTTATATAAAAAGTAAAAGTACATACTAATGACCAATCATATTCAAAAATAGGTCAGGCAGTCCATTGTAGGCGAAGGTTGAAGTCTGTTGTTTTTGTAAACACAGTTTGGGCTGTACGTGATTCATTCACAGAGCTTCTATCGACTTCAGTAACCTTGAATTAAAGTTGTGTGAAATAGTTATGAAACAGTCATTAATATTGATTTTGTGACCTGACATTTATAAGTGTTTTGCAATGGATGATGTTGGATTTCTATTCAAATTAATTGTATTTGGATTTTCTATATGATTTAGTAACCATTTTGGAACATGTTCTTTTCGACGACATTGGAAGATTCTGTTTGTTCTACCTATACAGGTGTCACCAGAGCTGCAGGTGAACTTGTACATACAGTTTGAAGCAGAGTCCACAAAATTTTGTCCCTTATTCGTAGATACAGGGATCGAAAATGTTCAGCATTTGAGAAAAACAGATGCAGCGTAGAATGTGAACTTGATGGCTGATCGAAATCTTTAAGCTGTCACCCTTGAATGGTAGGTTAACAAAGATAGATAGCTTTCGTTGGTACAGACCACAAAATGTGGTCTATTCTTACTGTGACAAGTGATGAAGTAAGTTTTCTGAATAACCATTAGCTAATGAAACTGAATGTATATGTGGAAGTTCATCCATCAATGTATCACTCGTGCATATTTTTCGGGCCCTTGAAAACAAACATTTCACTCAATCGGGAATGTTTATACTGGATAGTAAGAAAACTGGTGAAATGAAGACATTGTCCACTCCATGTCTGTTTTGGGAAAAAATAGATCGCTGAATCGTTGCATTATCTCTCCTGGTCGTTGTAATATCTAGGAAACCGAGTTTGTTATTCAATTCGAGTTCGGATATTAATCCATGATCAACTCGTAGAAACAAAGTAACAGTGTTTTATTTTCACTTTTCGTTTATTCATATGTATTAAAATAAATGAGAACGATAAAATGTTTGAATTCACTTTTTTTTTAATCTTTAGACGTCTACTAATTTAATGTCTACATCAGTCTAGAACACCTACTGAATTTTCAGCTAACTTAAACCCTGAAATTATTACTCACTTCCCAAATAATGTCACTGGATGATATAATCGTAGATCATGAATCAAATCAATGTCTTTTTGTATGCGCTAAATGTGGAGCAGAGTATGTGACACGAGATATGCTGGCAATGCATATGATGGACAGTGCTCGAGCTGGAATGTGTATAGAGACAGACACAGTGAGTAGCATACAAAATATAAATAATAATAATAATAACAACTCGAATCACAAAATGTCTACCAATGAGGAATCAGTTATATCAGAGCAATCATCCACTGCACCGAAACTTAACCAGTCATCGAATATGTTTGAATATTCACAACCACCATATGCATCATTACCGAATTGGATTGGTGAAAGAACCGAGCCAATATTCAATATGTTGTTCAACCAGCTGACTTTACCGCATATATACTCTTTGCAGAATGCTACACTGAATGCTAATACCAATAACAATAATAATAATAACATGCACAGTGCTAATCTTATGTCTTTGAATCATAAAATATTTTCAGCTTTAGAAGAAAGTCTTCCATCATCGTTTCGAGGATTTCGAAATGCTTCCTCGTCATCAACAGCATCATCATCAATAACCGATGTACAAAAAGACGAAGACGGCATACAATCTCTCCTAATGAATTCTAAATATCAAACAAATAATAATTTAGGCCAAAATGTAAAAATGAATTTTATTCATTCATTGAAAGTGAATAAAAATGACATGTTTACTAGTCTGGCGACAAAAGATAAAATACGTATGTCCAGTGGGAAGTCGAACTCAAATTTGAGTGAATATTATAAAGGAAGATTGAAACAGATTTCTAGTGAAGTGAATCATAGTCAAAGATGCACATCACCAGCAAATCCATGGATTAAATCTTTCGGTAACCAAGGTAGTAGTAATAGTAGTAGTAGCAGTAGTAGTTCAATAACTTCAACTGGTGCGATTTCAAAACCATTCAACTCTCCAGCTGACACCAACATTAAATCAAATAATGGTAACACAAAATGTACAGCTACACTTCAAAGTAAATCACAGACAATAGTAGACAGATCAGCAAATGATCAAGAAGGCTTTAAAATCACATATACAAATACACAAATGAAAGTCTGTGACGTTGCTAGATCTTCAAGATCTACGAAATGTAAGGATGCTAAGAATTTGAAGGCGATAAAAAGAAGTCGATCGTTGCCATCACCACGTACTCTGTTGAGTCAACAAATGTGTTCTGAGTCGACACCTTCACGTGTGAATGAAAATAGTGTTGTAGAGAAGACTAATGATATAAGCCCTTGTGATGAAATGCTGCATAAGGTGAGATTTAAATATTTGGTTATTTAATTATTTGAAATATCCTAACTTAAGTTCGAGAACCATCGTAAAACCTTGAAGTACGGAACAGTTGACTGTTTCGTACTTGTTTGCGACTCTCCAAAAGTAGGCACCACCAGAGTTCGGATCTAAGACCTTCCAGTTATGAAGCTAGCTAGTAGGCCATTAAGCCACTTGGACTCGATCCAATGACTAGTCCATGAATCCCAACTTCTACCGGTTCACAATATATATATATATATAGCTCACTAGATCACTGTCCTGATAGAGGAAGTTACCTGGAGTTCCTGTGAGAAGTCGTAAGCAGCAGGGTCCACCAAGTCAGGTTTGAGATCAATTACTCCCCTGTTATATTGTCTGGTGATTCCGCTTTCTATATATCACGAATCGCCAGAAGTTGGAATTCATGGACTCGCCACTGGATCACGTTCTGGCGTCTGAACAGCCTACGACCTCGTCCTGTAACAGGCGGGAAGTTTTTGGTAGCCCAAGTCTAAAGCAGGCAGCCGTCAAACTCTGAACATCCTCTCTGTACACAACTCTCTTCTTACGTCTCATCAAGTAGAACTGAAAGAAACTTTAGAAGACTTTATACTCGGACGACTAAGTACAAAAACCATACAATAACCTTATTTGGCAAGCACACATTTTATGTAATGAAAAAATATGCAATACAGGACACTACAAACTTACTGTGGAACTCAATTTTTGGCCTCATTTTTTTCACTGCTACACTGTTGTTTATATTTTTACTTCATTTAATTTTATTTTCATATTGAAGTATTGGCTTGTGGGGATTCGATTGACTGGTTACAGGATTTCATCATAAGCTGACAACGGTTAGAGAAGCATTGAGAAACCAAAAAGGAATACTGGACAGCCAACTGTTTCGTTCTAGTCTGAGGCTCTTCACAGTATGCACCAATCATCGGGGTTCAAACCCAGAACCTTCTGGTTACAAGGCTATCGAGTTCGTAGACCCTTAAGCCACTGGGATCTGATCTAATGGCCAGTCCATGAATTCCAACTTCTGCAACTTCACGGCATAGCGCGAAAACTAACCAATGTCTTCATATTCTTATTGCACTGTATCATCAATGTAAATGCCGTGTTTCAACTATTATTACCCCAGTACATGAGAAAGTTAGATGCTATACTATAGTACATGCTGAAAATTCCATATTTACACGAAAATTACCACTTATAATAAAGCTACTGTTACTGTCCAGAAGACTTTCGACAGCGTTGACCGAGAAGTAATTTGGAAACTACTCCAGTACTACGGCGTACAGTGCCCCAAATATTCATCAACCTTATTCAACAGCTGCTGTACGACAACGGCACATGTCAAGTGATCCACAACGGAAAACTCAGAGAGGCGTTTGGAGTAAACACAGGAGTCAGAAAAGGGTGCGTGCCTAATATCACCAAAGATATTCCTAATTGTGGTGGACTGGATTATGCGTCAGACAGTGGAAAACGAGAAAACGGGGATATCCTGGACCGACCGACGTGAAGAACCTAGAAGACATGGATTTCGCGCGCGGATGATTTATGTTTGATGTCACTGTCAAAAGATCGAAGACTTACAAGAGAAAACAGATCGACGAACTGGTCGAAGAAGCAGACAGCGAAGACAGGACTCCATGTGAACATAGACAAGACGGAGGTGATGAAAATAACCAACCAACCTACAACAACATCCAGTGCCAATCACCATTGACGGGAGGAATTTAAATGAAGTTAGTTGCTTCATCCACTTATCTAGGGAGCATTGTCTCAACTACAGGAGGAACTGACAAGGATGTCAAATCGAGCGAGAATCGGGAAGGTGAGCGAGAAACACATTCATCATCAACCTGAAACCAATCTGGAAATCTTCGTCACTCAGCCAGCATCAACAACGAAATTCGGTCGGATTTTCAATAGAAACAAGGTCAAGTCAGTCAGTTCTTCTATACGGATCAGAAACTTGACGGGTGGGTCACAAACAATTTTTCCAACCAACAGCCTGTTGAGGACCTTCATCAACCAACAGCTGTCGTCTCTGGATCTATACTGAGGATCAGATGGCCGGGCCGAAAAGAATCACCAACAAGAAACTCTGGGAACAAACAAAACAAGAAGAATTAATCACCAACCAAAAAATATGCAGGAGAAAGTGGAGATGGATGGATTGGACACTCGCTGAGGAGGCCGCTGGGTGACATCGCACGCGCGTCAAGCCATTGCTTGAGTGGAATCAGACCCAAAGGGAAGCAGGAGTGGGTCATCAGTGCAATGGTGACATGGAGGAGATCGTGTGAAGAGGAGTTGAAACAGTATGGACTAACTAACATGGATGCGGGCGAAGAGCACAGCAGAAGACAGAAGCAAGTGGATACGTGCATTTGAAGCCCTATGTTCCACTAGGAACCCAAGGGATCAATAGTAATAATATAATATTCTGACTATGATCAGAAAACCCCTGCACTAATTCACACTAACCGATTTGTCTCAACTAAATCTCCGTTTGATTTCAATTTGAAAATTTCTCTTTTCATTTAAAACTTCCTCTGTGTTTTAAAATCTTTTTTTTAACAGACTCGACGTGATCGTAAATGTTACAAGAGGTCAGGGTATAAAAATCTACGCAAACTGGTAAATTATAATCGATCAAAGTTTAAAATGGCTCAAAATTCGCATATCCTATCTCAAATAACAAATTGTTATAACCCGGATAAAACAGATGTACATTCAGCAAACTGCAATGATGAAGAGGCTGTTGTAATGGATGTTCAACATGACAGCAAACACGTGACTAGCTTAGATGATGGAAATAATCAAAAGATAAAAGCAGCCAGAAATTCTCAACTCACTTTTCCATATATCTGTGATTATTGTCAGATAGGATTTGTTCAACAAGCTTTATTCTGTTTACACATGGGAATGCATTGTGTGAATAACCCGTTGAAATGTAATATGTGTGCACGTAACTGTTTAAATGTTTATGACTTTATCAGTCATACTCTACACTTTTGACTTTTGAATGAATTGTAAAGCCTCTAGCATATCAAAGCAATAAAGAGTTTATCATTTTACTACGGTTTTCCCTCTCTCTCTCTCTCCCTCCCCTCTCTGTTTGATGTGAAAATGATTAAATCAAAATACTTCACTGTCAAACCTTCAGATACATCGTTGCCAAGACAGAATAAAAGCTGGCAGAGAAGATTTGCAGTTCAGATGAATGATTTTTATTTGGTCGCGTTCTATGAGGTTGTTGATTTCACCGCTAAGCATTCGTGTATTTATATCAAATGGATGGGAAAGTTCCAGAATAATTTCCGGTTAAGGGTTAAATTAATAAAAATTACAATTAGGAATTAGAATGCCACAATAAACAGGGGGACGGATGGATAAAACTCAAACAAAGTAGCATCATAATAACTAAGAAGATTGACATGTTGTGCAATTAGAGGTTAGAAATGTAGAAATGATTTGTTCATCAAGACGATTCCGGAGCCTTTATCTGATAGCGTGATGATCAAGAATGATGAAGGATAATGAAAACTTGATCATCATGCGACTAGATAAAAGCTCCGAAATGTAGAAATAACAAAAGTAGACAGGATGTTTGGATAAAACAACGAATGTGATGAATAATTGTTTATGCAATCAGGGATTAAATATGTAGAAATAGTAAAATAACAAAATAAACACGAAGTTCGGGTATGAAAATATGGTAGTGTAAACAGGGATTAAGAAAAACTTGAAATAACATGAATAAACAGGAAGTTTAGATAAGAAAGGCGATGGGATGGTGATTACTAAAAATTACCTGTTTATGATGGCCATGGCAAGGACAGGGGTTGGACGTATTTCTTTTGGATACAAAGCATGGGTTTGAGCTTTTGTATAGCTATCGCCTCGACTATGCCCAAATGTCTTGATTTCACTCCTTTTGGTAGGTTTGATTGAATCTTGTATATTACTTTGAAGGATTTTTCGAAAGGCGCTGAATGTCCTGAATTGACCAGATGTTCTGTTACTGAACTTTATACACCTTTTTGGTCTCCTTTTACTAACCAGGCTGAGTAGTGTTCACGAGCGCGTTTTTCAAGTCGGCGCATGGTACAGCCGATGTACTCAGCTCCACAACAGCAAGTAAACTGGTATATGCACATTCAGGTAGCCCAATGCGACGGCTTGTCTTTCACTTTCTGGCTGAACGGTTTCTTGCAGGAAAACATCAGTCGTAGGCTGGCGGTGAAGTATGTTTTCCTCAGAGATTTGGAGAGGCGTTTGCGAAGGATTTCTGCTTCAATATCACCTTTGAATTCTAGATTAAGCAGAAATATTTTCTTTGGAACGGTTCGGACTTGTTCGGAAGTCTTCTTAGGTTTGAGATTCTTGTCTATGAACTTAGGCGCGAAATCGTTTTCCATCAGGGTTTTTCGAAGATTACGCAGTTCTTCTTCAACCACTTCTTCGCTGCATATCTTCCAAATCCTCGAGGACAGAGCATATATCAGGTTCCTCTTTCTGCTCAGGGTCACGAAGCTTTGAAAGTTGATGAATTGTCTATTCCATGTAGGCTTTTTGTATATGGACCTTTTCAGAGAGTTGTCGGCGTTTCTTGTCAGATGGACGTCGAGGAAGTGGCACATTCCGTCGGATTCATTCTCAAGTGTAAAGTTGATGTTTGGGTGGGCATTATTGAAGATTCGAAGTAGGTTTTTTAAATCACAGTCCTCATCATAAATAATGAAAGTATCATCGATGTATCTCTTGTAGAGATGGAGGTCGTTGACAGTTGGTGATAAGGCGTTGTTCTCTAAGCTAGCCATAAAGCAGTCGGCTAGGAGGGGTCCTAAGGGAGAGAACCCATTGCTACTCCATCTACTTGCCTGTATATTTCCTTGTTGAAAGCATTCATTGTGCTTCTAGACAACATCACTCTAGAGCAAGCTTAAATAAGAAGTGAAATTCTCTGAATTCTATCCTCCACGCATGATATAACTGTATCCCCTGACGACCGTTGTTGTAATTAGTTGTTAATTTAGATCATTTTTAATGACTTGGAGTTTGAACTTTCCTGTCATGTGATGTGATTTATTCTTTATTAGTTAGTAAATTTGACCTACAGTAATGTGTTTGTTAATCACAGTGCCAGGCTCCTAGAAATTCCATGGCAGTAATTTTGGTCTTTCCACTACTTAAAATCTCTACATCCAACCAATAAGATTGGTGTCCATGATTATCTACATGCACTGATATCATGTCTTTTCACAAATAATCTGTATTTTTGAATTCTAAGTCGAAGGGAACGCCCACTTTGACTGATGTAATGTTTATTGCAGTTCATACACGCAATTTATTTTTTGTAAATGATGTTGATCCTATCTTCTTTTTCTGTGGAATCTTTCCGTTCGCACAATATCGAATGAAGTGATTGTGTCGACTTGTGTGCTATGTCTGTTACACACAGTTTAAGTATTCTAGCCGTTAATTCAGAGATATTTTTTATTTAAAAAAAATGGTAGAACAAATTCTGCTGTGGTCTTTGGGGATGATTTCTTGGTGATATTCCCCTTTGAGTTTAAACACCTTTCGATGAAATTGTACGGGTATTCATTCTTCCTAAAAAGGAAACAGTTAGTAGATATTTCTCTTCGATTCTCTTCAGCACTGGAGTGCTACAGTGTGACTGAATTGATTTAAACAATGTTTGCACACAGTTTGTTTTGTGAGTCATTGAGTAATTATCTTTATAGTTGAGTATTTGATCGCTAGGCGTTGATTTTCTGCATACTTCTGTATGTTTCTACATTTCTCGTGTTCATTCTCTTGATCAAGACATCTAAGAAAGGAATCCTGTCGTCTGATTCCTTTTCTCTTGTGAATTTAATATCTTCAAATATATTGTTGACTAATTTGTGGGTTTATTTCAAAGCCTTTATTTTTATTATTAAGAATGTATCATCAAAACAACGTACCCAAATTTTTTATCTCATTATGGGTAGGGCTATTAATTCTCAGTTCTTTAGATATATTATATGTTAATGTCCCTTGCAGCGAAACGATTGGTCACAAGGGAATATCTGGTTTGTGTAGTTTCGGTAATTCAAACGACGAAAATTACAGATAAAGCAGACGTGTCTTTTTCAAAGTTTATGTTACTTTCAGATCCCCGATTATTATTAGTATTAAGCCCTTGAGTTCCAAGTGGAACATAGGGCTTCAACAGCACAACTACACTTTATTCTGTTTTCTGCCGCCTCTTCAGCTGCTTTCACGATTGACCATTACCTCCTTCTCAGACGATCTCCTCCATATCACCCTTGCACTGATGACCGACTCGTCGCTTCCCATTTGGATTCCATTCAAGTAATGGCCTGGCGTGTGATGTTATTCGGCAGCCTCCTCAATGTGTTCCCGATCTATCTGGACTTTCCCCTACATATGTGTTGAGCCATCAGCTCCTGGTTGGTTTGTTCTCATAGTTTCTTGCTGCTTATATTTTCTGGTCAGCCGGCCATTTTATCTTCAGTATGGAGCCAACGAAGGCAGCCGTCGATGAAAGTCTATAGTAGCCTGTTGGAAATCCTTTTCGTGACTGACACGCGGAATAAGTTTCAGACCCGTATAGAAGTAGTGGCTGACTGACTGACTTGACTTTGGTGTTGAAAATGCTCCTTATGCTGAGTGGGGAGGGTTTCCTAACTGAATTCAGGTTGATAAGGGCTTACCTTCGCTTTCTAATTCTGACTTTGACATCTCCGTCCGTTCCGCAAGAGGTAATCTCTGTTAAACCTCTTTCATTGATGGTGATTGGTGCTGGTTGTTGCTGCTGTTTTTGTTGTTGGCTTGTGATTGTCTTCATCACCTCAACATTGTCTGTGTTCACCTTCAGTCCTGTTTTAACTTACTGATAGACTCTTCTGCAAAATTGTAGGTTTTCGCTTGTAAGTCTTCGACTTTGGGTGACATAAGACATATATCATCTGCGAAATCCAGATCTGGTCCTTTCTGAGACTTCGACCCGTTTCACCCAGCGCAGTCAGAGATGTTACCACTGAACTATTTGGACTCGTGACTGATCTCGACGAAACTTAGGTCAAAGGCTTCCTGCCAACTAATATCAACAATTCATGGTGCACAATGGTGGTGAGCCACCTAGGATGGTGGCTACATTTCAAACTTAACTGACAGAACTAAATCTGCACCAAACAAGAAGCTAGACACAACACACTAATTACTAACTATTATACAATCTAAAATGTTCGTCTTAGTCATGAATTCTAAGCCAAAAAGCACTCCATTTATTAACAAAATTTAAGGTAGATTTTATCACAAATTAAATGCAGACAATAAATTATTTCTATTTAACTGGTGGATGGTGACTAGCAGTAGAATCCAGGATGCGCATTTCCCCGCCCCTTACGGAACTCGTCAACTGGATGTACCTACATTTCTCCGTGAGTGATCCTGTTACCAATGGGACTCGAACCCGGTGCCCATAGTTTCAAACGCCAAAGCGTTATCCACTGGACCATTTGGGCCCCGAGAGCCACCTCTTGTGCAACGGGTCATATTAATTTAATTGTTTTTTAGATTTTCCAATCGATTGATTGGACCGAAGTTCTCGATATCAGGTTGACGTATCGATTTCTTGGATTCCATTGCTGGTCACCGTCCACCAATTAAATGCCCAGACATTGCCAAAGCATCTACACAAGAAGCCGACATGTCAACCCGAGACCGAGCACTTTGGTCCAATCAATCGGCAGGAAAATCTAAAATTGCATGGAGGATTTTATCATGAGCTAACATCAGTTAGAGAACCACTGGAAAACCTGGGAGCAGTAGACAACTGTTTCGTCATAGTTTGGGACTCTTCATCAGTATGCACCCACCGGGGTTCGAACCCAGGACCTTCTGGTCACAAGGCGAGCTTGTCGACCATTAAGCCACTGGGACCCGATCCAATGGTTCTTGAATTCTAACTTTTGCCGATTCACGACACAGCGCGACTATTTTGCAATGTCTTCTTCGATGAGTTACTGCCTCATCTTTGA